GAAGGTAGTTGTGCTTTCTGGGTTCGAGTCCCACTGGTGGGTGTTGTCCAAAGATTGTTTATCTTCACTTGTGGTTTATGCAAGTATAGGCTTATAAGCTGGACACGAGTTCTCTCACATTGACAGTGGCTTGACGAAAATTGCAGACTGACCCCTCACTCATCTGGTGCCTTCGGGAGGTAGAGATGTTTGAGATATATATATCTCGAACTATCTACTTCTTTTGTAAGGTCTGATGGCGTAGTGGGTTAAAGCATACTAGTTATGCCAGCTACTGGAAGGTAGTTGTGCTTTCTGGGTTCGAGTCCCACTGGTGGGTGTTGTCCAAAGATTGTTTATCTTCACTTGTGGTTTATGCAAGTATAGGCTTATAAGCTGGACACGAGTTCTCTCACATTGACAGTGGCTTGACGAAAATTGCAGACTGACCCCTCACTCATCTGGTGCCTTCGGGAGGTAGAGATGTTTGAGATATATATATCTCGAACTATCTACTTCTTTTGTAAGGTCTGATGGCGTAGTGGGTTAAAGCATACTAGTTATGCCAGCTACTGGAAGGTAGTTGTGCTTTCTGGGTTCGAGTCCCACTGGTGGGTGTTGTCCAAAGATTGTTTATCTTCACTTGTGGTTTATGCAAGTATAGGCTTATAAGCTGGACACGAGTTCTCTCACATTGACAGTGGCTTGACGAAAATTGCAGACTGACCCCTCACTCATCTGGTGCCTTCGGGAGGTAGAGATGTTTGAGATATATATATCTCGAACTATCTACTTCTTTTGTAAGGTCTGATGGCGTAGTGGGTTAAAGCATACTAGTTATGCCAGCTACTGGAAGGTAGTTGTGCTTTCTGGGTTCGAGTCCCACTGGTGGGTGTTGTCCAAAGATTGTTTATCTTCACTTGTGGTTTATGCAAGTATAGGCTTATAAGCTGGACACGAGTTCTCTCACATTGACAGTGGCTTGACGAAAATTGCAGACTGACCCCTCACTCATCTGGTGCCTTCGGGAGGTAGAGATGTTTGAGATATATATATCTCGAACTATCTACTTCTTTTGTAAGGTCTGATGGCGTAGTGGGTTAAAGCATACTAGTTATGCCAGCTACTGGAAGGTAGTTGTGCTTTCTGGGTTCGAGTCCCACTGGTGGGTGTTGTCCAAAGATTGTTTATCTTCACTTGTGGTTTATGCAAGTATAGGCTTATAAGCTGGACACGAGTTCTCTCACATTGACAGTGGCTTGACGAAAATTGCAGACTGACCCCTCACTCATCTGGTGCCTTCGGGAGGTAGAGATGTTTGAGATATATATATCTCGAACTATCTACTTCTTTTGTAAGGTCTGATGGCGTAGTGGGTTAAAGCATACTAGTTATGCCAGCTACTGGAAGGTAGTTGTGCTTTCTGGGTTCGAGTCCCACTGGTGGGTGTTGTCCAAAGATTGTTTATCTTCACTTGTGGTTTATGCAAGTATAGGCTTATAAGCTGGACACGAGTTCTCTCACATTGACAGTGGCTTGACGAAAATTGCAGACTGACCCCTCACTCATCTGGTGCCTTCGGGAGGTAGAGATGTTTGAGATATATATATCTCGAACTATCTACTTCTTTTGTAAGGTCTGATGGCGTAGTGGGTTAAAGCATACTAGTTATGCCAGCTACTGGAAGGTAGTTGTGCTTTCTGGGTTCGAGTCCCACTGGTGGGTGTTGTCCAAAGATTGTTTATCTTCACTTGTGGTTTATGCAAGTATAGGCTTATAAGCTGGACACGAGTTCTCTCACATTGACAGTGGCTTGACGAAAATTGCAGACTGACCCCTCACTCATCTGGTGCCTTCGGGAGGTAGAGATGTTTGAGATATATATATCTCGAACTATCTACTTCTTTTGTAAGGTCTGATGGCGTAGTGGGTTAAAGCATACTAGTTATGCCAGCTACTGGAAGGTAGTTGTGCTTTCTGGGTTCGAGTCCCACTGGTGGGTGTTGTCCAAAGATTGTTTATCTTCACTTGTGGTTTATGCAAGTATAGGCTTATATATATATATATATATATATATATATATATGTCGTACCTAATAGCCAGAACGCACTTCTCAGCCTACTATTCAAGGCCCGATTTGCCTAATAAGCCAAGTTTTCATGAATTAATGTTTTTTCGTCTACCTAACCTACCTAACCTAACCTAACCTAGCTTTTTTTGGCTACCTAACCTAACCTTACCTATAAATAAAGGTTAGGTTAGGTTAGGTAGGGTTGGTTAGGTTCGGTCATATATCTACGTTAATTTTAACTCCAATAAAAAAAATTGACCTCATACATAGAGAAAAGGGTTGCTTTATCATTTCATAAGAAAAAAATTATAGTAAATATATTAATTCAGGAAAACTTGGCTTATTAGGCAAATCGGGCCTTGAATAGTAGGCTGAGAAGTGAGTTCTGGCTACTAGGTACGACATATATATATATATATATATATATATATATATATATACATATATATATATATATATATATATATATGTGTGTATATCACGAAAATAAACACGTGATTAAGAATGTGACAATGTCAGACCACGGAGGAAAAATGAAACAGGAAATTTCCTTAAGTACTTTCGTATATTAAATACATCTTCAGAAGGTCATTTTACAGATCGAGTGATGGGTATAAATAGGCAGGAAGGAGTGGTGAAGTAAGGTGAGGTACAATACTTGGACAACGCAGAAGGCCCATTGGCCCATCAGATGCACCCAATTGGCACATCCGATGTAGCACAATGGCCCATCTGATACAGCAGACATACAAGCATAATATATAGGTAATTATAACATAAAGAATTAAATATATACAATAAATTAGTGAGACAAATGTTTTTCAATGATTCTACTTAAATCGCCCTTTAGCTGATCTATTAGAAATGGATCTAAGTTATATAGACCACTGCTAATATTCAAATTACTTTCTTTGGTGATCTGTATCAAAGCAGATTCAATTATGTTTCTGTTATAGGTGCTTTTACAATTTGTTATTGAAGAAGCACTCTCCCAATCAATTTGGTGAGCTTTTTCTGACAAATGCACAAACAAAGCATTAGACAATTGGCCATGTTTTACAGAGTATTTATGTTGCTGACATAAATATTTATTGCAACATAAATACTCTGTAAAACATGGCCAATTGTCTAATAATAATAACAATAATAATAATAATAATAATAATAATAATAATAATAATAATAATAATAATAATAATAAACTGCTAGCTGGTCTTTATGGAGAGAGAGGTATAATAAACGTTCTTTAGTTTCTCTTCATAGGACAGGTTACTAATTCATAGGAATAATTTTGACAACTTTGTAAAAAGTTCAAATAAATTTATATTTATTTTATATTACGGTGACCAAAACCTAACTAAAATCGTATATATTATAATGGAAAGCTATATCGTTCCATAAGCAACAAATTCAGAAAATATATAATTCTAGGAAAATTCGTTTTATTAGGCAACTTGGCCTATTTTTTTTTTTACAGGGATATTCCTGCGCGGGCCCTAAGCCTCTGGCTGGCCCACTAAGTGTTGCTTGTTTCTTGTTTCTGTTTTACTTGGGCGGAGTATGAGTATTTATGACTCGTATGGTCGCTTCAGTAAGATTTTGTCCCATGTGTTTAACAACTTCTTCTGCTCTGTTGAATCTAAGTTGAAATCTTAATGGGTTTGTAACTGTGCTCTGTGTTAGATCATGTTCCAGTGATCTGTCGGGCATTTCTTCACAGTGCTGACAATCCCTCCCCCCCCCCCCGACACACACACAGGGGCCTCGTAGCCTGGTGGATAGCGCGCAGGACTCGCTGTGGCGCGGGTTCGATTCCCGCACGAGGCAGAAACAAATGGGCAGAGTTTCTTTCACCCTGATGCCCCTGTTACCTAGTAGTAAATTTCTACCTGGGAGTTAGACAGCTGTTACGGGCTGCTTCCTGTGTGTGTGTGTGTGTGTGTGTGTGTGTGTGTGTGTGTGTGTGTGTGTGTGTGTGTGTGTGTGTGTGTGTGTGTGTGTGTGTGTGTGTGTGTGCGTGTGTGTGTGTGTGTGTGAGTGTGTGTGTGAGTGTGTGTGTGTGTGTGTGTGTGTGTGTGTGTGTGTGTGTGTGTGTGTGTGTGTGTGTGTGTGTGTGTGTGTGTGTGTGTGTGTGTGTGTGGAAAAAAAAGATTGATTGACAGTTGAGAGACGGGACGAAAGAGTAGAGCTCAACCCCCGCAAGCACAACTAGGTGAGTACACACACACACACACACACACACACACACACACACACACACACACACACACACACACACACACACACACACACACACACACACACACACACGCACACACACACACACACACACGCACACACACACACACACACACACACACACACACACACACACACACATACATACAGTTTCGTTACTGAGATACAAGGAAAGGCTGCGGGAAATGCCTTTGCCAAAATGCCTAATCATCTCACGACACTGGACGACAGAAGAGTAAGGGGAGACATGATCACTACCTACAAAACCCTGAGGGGAATTGACCAAGTAGACAAGAATAAACTATTCAACACTGGTGCTACGCGAACAAGGGGACACAGGTGGAAACTGAGTACCCAAATGAGCCACAGAGACGTAAGAAAGAACTTGTTCAGTGTCAGAGTAGTTAACAGATGGAATGCATTAGGCAATGATGTGGTGGAGGCTGACTCCATACACAGTTTCAAATGTAGATATGATAGAGCCAAGTAGGCTCAGGAACCTGTACACCAGTCGATTGACAGTTGAGAGGCGGGACCAAAGAGCCAGAGCTCAATACTAGGAGAGCACAACTAGGAGAGGCCCAGCCACCCGGATAGAGGAGCGGGCCGGGTGTAGCATTAGTCTGGGCCCGGGAGACAACTGTGAGGGGCCAGGAAAAAACCACACGAGAGGAATCGCGTCACCACACAACATAATTCTCCCTCCAACCAGACACGATCCTTGGCGGAGGTCCTGTTTCCCCGCTCCCGGCCCGCTACCTGCTGCTGAGCCCCCGCTACCTGCAGCTGAGTCCCCGCTACCTGCTGCTGTGCCCTCGCTACCTGCTGCTGTGCCCTCGCTACCTGCTGCTGAGCCCCCGCTACCTGCTGCTGAGCCCCCGCTACCTGCTGCTGAGCCCCCGCTACCTGCTGCTGAGCCCCCGCTACCTGCTGCTGAGCCCCCGCTACCTGCTGCTGAGCCCCCGCTACCTGCTGCTGAGCCCCCGCTACCTGCTGCTGAGCCCCCCGCTACCTGCTGCTGAGCCCCCGCTACCTGCTGCTGAGCCCCCGCTACCTGCTGCTGAGCCCCTGCTACCTGCAGCTGAGTCCCCGCTACCTGCTGCTGTGCCCTCGCTACCTGCTGGTGAGCCCCCGTTACCTGCTGCTGAGCCCCCGCTACCTGCTGCTGAGCCCCCGCTACCTGATGCTGAGCCCCCGCTACCTGCTGCTGAGCCCCCGCTACCAGCTGCTGAGCCCCCGCTACCTGCTGCTGAGCTCTTGCTACTTTCTGCTGAGCCCTCGCTACCTGTTGCTGAGTCCCCGCTACCTGCTGCTGAGCCCCCGCTACCTGCTGCTGAGCCCCCGCTACCTGCTGCTGAGTCCTCGCTACCTGCTGCTGAGCTCTTGCTACTTTCTGCTGAGCCCTCGCTACCTGCTGCTGGGCCCCCACTACCTGCTGCTGAACCCCCACTACCTGCTGCTGAGCCCCCGCTACCTGCTGTTGAGTCCCCACTACCTGCTGCTGAGCCCCCGCTACCAGCTGCTGAGACCCTGCTACCTGTTGCTGAGCCCCCGCTACCAGCTGCTGAGCATCTGCTGCTGAGCCCCCGCTACCTGCTGCTGAGCCCCCGCTACCTGCTGCTGAGCTCTTGCTACTTTCTGCTGAACCCCCGCTATCTGCTGTTGAGCCCCCGCTACCTGCTGCTGAGTCCCCGCCACCTGCTGCTGAGCCTCCGCTACCTGCTGCTGAGCCCCCGCTTCCTGTTGCTGAGCCCCCGCTACCAGTTGCTGAGCCTCCGCTTCCTGTTCCTGAGCCCCCGCTACCTGTTGCTGAGCCCCCGCTTCCTGTTGCTGAGCCCCCGCTACCTGCTGCTGAGTCTCCGCTCCTGTTGCTGAGCCCCCGCTACCTGTTGCTGAGCCTCCCGCTACCTGCTACTGAGCCCCCGCTACCTGCTGAAGAGCCTCCGCTTCCTGTTGCTGAGCCCCCGCTATCTGCTGCTGAGTCTCCCGCCGCTACCTGCTGCTGAACCCCCGCTACCTGCTGCTGAGGCCTCACTACCTGCTACTGAGCGCCCACTTTCTGTTGCTGAGGCCCCACTACCTGCTGCTGAACCCTCGCTACCTGTTGCTGAACCCTCGCTACCTGCTGCTGAGCCTCCGCTACCTGCTGCTGAGCTCCCACTTCCTGTTGCTGAGTCCCCGCTACTTGTTGCTGAGCCTCCGCTTCCTGTTGCTGAGCCCCCGCTATCTGTTGCTGAGCCCCCGCTATCTGCTGCTGAGCCCCCGCTACCTGCTGCTGAACCCCCGCTACCTGCTGCTGAGCCCCCACTACCTCCTGCTGAACCCCCGCTACCTACTGCTGAGCCCTCCCTACCTGTTGCTGAGGCCCCGCTATTTGCTGCTGAGCCCCGCTACCTGGTGCTGAGCCCCCACTACCTGCTGCTGAACCCCCGCTACCTGCTACTGAGCCCCCGCTACCTGCTGAAGAGCCTCCGCTTCCTGTTGCTGAGCCCCCGCTATCTGCTGCTGAGTCTCCCGCCGCTACCTGCTGCTGAACCCCCGCTACCTGCTGCTGAGGCCTCACTACCTGCTGCTGAGCGCCCACTTTCTGTCGCTGAGGCCCCACAACCTGCTGCTGAACCCTCGCTGCCTGTTGCTGAACCCTCGCTACCTGCTGCTGAGCCTCCGCTACCTGCTGCTGAGCTCCCGCTTCCTGTTGCTGAGCCCCCGCTACTTGTTGCTGAGCCTCCGCTTCCTGCTGCTGAGCTCCCGCTACGTGATGCTGAGCCCCCGCTACCTGCTGCTGAGCCCCCGCTACTTGCTGCTGAGCCCCCACTACCTGCTGCTGAGCCCCCGCTACCTGCTGCTGAGCCCCCGCTACCTGCTGCTGAGCCCCCGCTACCTGCTGCTGAGCCCCCGCTACCTGCTGCTGAGCTGCCGCTACCTGGTGCTGAGCCCCCGCTACCTGCTGCTGAGCCCCCGCTACCTGCTTCTGAGCCCCCGCTACCTGCTGCTGAACCCCCGCTACCTGTTGCTGAGGCCCCGCTACCTGCTGCTGAGCCCCCGCTACCTGCTGCTGAGCTCCCGCTTCCTGTAGCTGAGGCCCCACTACCTGCTGCTGAGCCCCCGCTTCCTGCTGCTGAGCGCCCGCTTCCTGTTGCTGAGGCCCCACTACCTGCTGCTGAGCCTCCGCTACATGCTGCTGAGCCCCCGCTACCTGCTGCTGAGCCCCCACTACCAGCTACTGAGCCCCCGCTACCTGCTGCTGAGCCCCCGCTACCTGGTGCTGAGCCCCCGCTACCTGCTGCTGAGCTCCCGCTACCTGCTGCTGAGCCCCCACTACCTGCTGCTGAGGCCCCACTACCTGCTGCTGAGTCCCAGCTACCTACTGCTGAGGCCCCGCTACCTGTTGCTGAGGCTCCGCTTCCTGCTACTGAGCCCCCATTACCTGCTGCTGAACCCCCGCTACCTGCTGCTGAGCCCCCGCTACCTGCTGCTGAACCCCCGCTACCTGTTGCTGAGGCCCCGATACCTGCTGCTGAGCCCCCGCTACCTGGTGCTGAGCCCCCGCTACCTGGTGCTGAGCCCCCACTACCTGCTACTGAACCCCCGCTACCTGCTGCTGAACCCCCGCTACCTGCTGCTGAGCCCCCGCTACCAGCTGCTGAACCCCCGCTACCTGTTGCTGAGGCCCCGCTACCTGCTGCTGAGCCCCCGCTACCTGCTGCTGAGCCCCCGCTACCTGCTGCTGAGCCCCCGCTACCTGCTGCTGAGCCCCCACTACCTGCTGCTGAACCCCCGCTACCTGCTGCTGAGCCCCCGCTACCTGCTGCTGAGTCCCCGCTACCTGCTGCTGAGCCCCCGCTACCTGCTGCTGAGCTACCGCTACCTGGTGCTGAGCCCCCGCTACCTGCTGCTGAGCCCCCGCTACCTGCTGCTGAGCCCCCGCTACCTGCTGCTGAGCCCCCGCTACCTGTTGCTGAGGCCCCGTTACCTGCTGCTGAATTCCCGCTACCTGTTGCTGAGGCCCCGCTACCTGCTGCTGAGCCCCCGCTACCTGCTGCTGAACCCCCGCTACCTGTTGCTGAGGCCCCGCTACCTGCTGCTGAATTCCCGCTACCTGTTGCTGAGGCCCCGCTACCTGCTGCTGAGCCCCCGCTACCTGCTGCTGAGCCCTCGCTACCTGCTGCTGAGGCCCCGCTACCTGCTGCTGAGCCCCCGCTACTTGCTGCTGAGCCCCCACTACCTGCTGCTGAACCCCCGCTACCTGCTGCTGAACCCCCGCTACCTGGTGCTGAGCCCCCGTTTCCTGTTGCTGAGCTCCCGCTACCTGGTGCTGAGCCCCCGCTACCTGCTGCTGAGCCCCCGCTACCTGCTGCTGAGCCCCCGCTACCTGCTGCTGAACCCCCGCTACCTGTTGCTGAGGCCCCGCTACCTGCTGCTGAACCCCGCTACCTGCTGCTGAACCTCCGCTACCTGCTGCTGAACCCCCGCTACCTGTTGCTGAGGCCCCGCTACCTGCTGCTGAGCTCCCGCTACCTGGTGCTGAGCCCCCGCTACCTGCTGCTGAGCCCCCACTACCTGCTGCTGAACCCCCGCTACCTGCTGCTGAGCCCCCTCTACCTGCTGCTGAGCCCCCGCTACTTACTGCTGAGCCCCCGCATACCTGCTACTGAGCCTCCGCTACCTGGTGCTGAGCCCCCGCTACCAGCTGCTGAGCCCCCGCTACCTGCTGCTGAGCCCTCCCTACCTGCTGCTGAGTTCTTGCTACTTTCTGCTGAGCCCCCGCTACGTGCTGCTGAGCTTCCGCTACCTGCTGCTGAGCCCCCGCTACCTGCTGCTGAGCCCCCGCTACCTGCTGCTGAGCCCCCGCTACCTGCTGCTGAGCCCCCGCTACCTGCTGCTGGGCCCCCGCTACCTGCTGCTGAGCCCCCGTTTCCTGTTGCTGAGCCCCTGCTACCTGCTGCTGAGCCCCCGCTACCTGCTGCTGGGCCCCCGCTACCTGCTGCTGAGCCCTCGTTTCCTGTTGCTGAGCCCCCGCTACCTGGTACTGAACCCCAGCTACCTGCTGCTGAGCCCCCGCTATCTGCTACTGAACCCCAGCTACCTGCTGCTGAGCCCCCGCTATCTGCTGCTGGGCCCCCGCTACCTGCTGCTGAGCCCTCGTTTCCTGTTGCTGAGCCCCCGCTACCTGCTACTGAACCCCAGCTACCTGCTGCTTAGCCCCCGCTATCTGCTACTGAACCCCAGCTACCTGCTGCTGACACCCCGCTACCTGCTGCTGAACCCCAGCTACCTGCTGCTTAGCCCCCGCTATCTGCTACTGAACCCCAGCTACCTGCTGCTGACACCCCGCTACCTGCTGCTGAACCCCAGCTACCTGCTGCTGGCCTCCACCCCCCCCCCCAGCAACCTGCTGCTGAGGTCCTGCTTCAGCAGTGATGAACGGCACCATTATAACCTGCACCATTTTCAGGACACGGAGAAAAACCATCATATTACACAATACAAAATTGCTCTCATAAATTTACTTACATTATTCTCACAAATATCTTAATACCGGAAAGCAAAAAGTTATGAGTGAAAATTGTCTTGAAATAATAAATGAGACACAGTTGGTTTATGAAAAGATAAATGATCCTAAAGAAAATAACAGAATATATAAATGTAGTGACCATCAGTATACCAGACATACAGAGACTGATATATTAGTTATACTGAAACACGGTGAAGGGTGGGAGTCCTTCTGCCTCAGGTCTCTTGAGGGAGTCGTACTAGACAGGTCCTTCACAATAGGCTATAGACGACCAACAAATAGTGACCACTCATAACCCTCGTCTAGGGTTTTAAAAGGCTTATTATAGCTTCTAGCGGAAATGTTCAAGGCTGACTTACTAATGTGGAGGCTGACTTATACCCCTTTGTGTTAGATATATTGTTTTAGCTCTTATACCAGCTGCTTGATTACCAGCTGCTTGATTACCAGCTGCTTGATTACCAGCTGCTTGATTACCAGCTGCTTGACCACCAGCTGCTTGACCACCAGCTGCTTGACCACCAGCTGCTTGACCACCAGCTGCTTGACCACCAGCTGCTTGACCACCAGCTGCTTGATCACCCCGTCTCCCTCTCCAGTGTTCCACTGGCAGTCGGACTGGTTGTAAACCCCATGGTGCTCTCAACATAGCCAGGGTCGACTAATGACAGCCGAAGTCGTTGAAAGACCCGTTTCTGTCCAGAGACCAGCCTTCAGGACATCCTCCAGCCCCCCCCCCCTTCACCCACCCCCCGGGGGAGCTGTTCAGTGTTCAACAGTCAAGGCGTTGCTTCTGTTTGCTCCTGTTGACATGTTGAACATTATGTAGTTGTCTGTTGTCGTTGTCAAGCGAGGTAGTGCTGATATGTCTACCTCGGCTAGATCCAAGATACCTGTGCAATGTATTAATTAATTGTTTTTTTTATATTTTTTTATATTAATCATTATTACCTTTTGTCATAGAGCAATTATCATAATAATAATAATGTGCGAAGAAATCACTTTAACGTGATGTACTGATGTTCTCATTGATACATGGCGTTAATGGGATCTCATTGATACATGGCGTTAATGGGATCTCATTGATACATGGCGTTAATGGGATCTCATTGATACATGGCGTTAATGGGATCTCATTGATACATGGCGTTAATGGGATCTCATTGTGCAATTGAGGTGAGTGTTGGAGGGGGGAAGGGTGGTTGTTGTAGAGCTCCTGATTACACCAGAGTACTCACCTAGTTGTACTTGAGGGGGTTGAGCTTTGGCTCTTTGGTCCCGCCTCTCGACAACCTTGACAAGAGTGTATAGGCGGGTCATGTGTGATTTTGTATCATTTCGATGCCTAATGACCCTCAGAGGATTCAGTTGAAGCCCATGTTACATTACTTACGGTGTATCATGGTCCAGTGGTTAACGGCGTGTGCTTGGGTGTATACCCAGGGTGCAGGTTCGAATCCTCCTCATGGCTCCAACTAATTGAACACCATAGTTCAATTTTCTTCAACTATGGGGTTCAGTTCCAGAACCTATTATGAGCCTTTGTAACCCTTTTCACCACCGCCCACTGGATGGGTAAAGGGTGCATAATAAATGCCTACATTATGGCTATCCAGTACTCCAGATCATTTCCCCCTTTGCAAAATTGAGTGAGATTAGCCCCAAGCATCTGTCCTCCAGTCATGAACAAATCGACCAACACGCAGTCTGTCTTATTGATACAGATTGATATATATTCGAATTATGGACATACCCCGTATTAGCTAGACTCCCCTGAACTCTGGAGTTTGGAAGACCCTGTGTAAATTAATACAGGTACCTTTACGGTCTGAAATACACTGTTATGCTTGGTTATAATACCATTTGTGTGCAGGGAATGTGTGTCTGTGTATCATTTTAGCTAAGACAGAAAACCTGAAGGTATTTCATTTTGTTCTTGGCTTCCAATTTTCGACGTCATTTAAATATATAAAAAAAGAATGTCTGTTTGTTTAAGGTTGGCGGTCAGACGGTTGGGCTAACCTCACAGAATTTTGCATGGCGGTTTGTGGTTGTTTGATGAGTGTCATAAGGGGGGGTTGGGGTCGACCCCCCCCCTATGCCTATCTTCGAGAAGGATCGACTCCTATTCCGAATGCCATCGACTCCAATTAAGTTTGAATTGTGGGTTTGGTTCCCGAGAGTTTTTCAAAGCCCTTTCCTCATAAACAACGGCCAAAGTTCATTCCATCCACCCGCCAAACCCTCTGTTTATGAATGAAAAACGGTTTACACACGACTCACAACTGATGACGTTCGAACACTTCCGGAACAAGTGCTTCGCTGACGACTATTATTCGAACCACAACGCTGTAAATGCTTCACCTACGTACTACAAAAACGTGTACAAATACTACAAATCGCCAACAGAACCTAAACACCTAACCTAACCAATGCCTAAATAGACACAGTATTATTATTATATATTATATTATTATATAACAATATTAATTTATATATGAACAAATTCCTATTTTGAATGAACAGCATGTTAAAAAATGATGATCGAATGCGTCTTTGGGGGTCGGCCGCTGAATGGAATGAACTTGATCTGAAGTTAGTTAGTTTAGTTTATTTATTATGCACCCCATACTCATTTTGTGGGCGGTAGTGGAAAGGGTTAGAGGCACATAATGGGCTCAGGGACTGAACCCCACAATTCATTTAGCTAAGCAAGTTACAATCTTGATGAGCTAGTTGCAAACTTTAATATAAGTCGTCACATCAACAATGGGTTCGAGTGATCTGAAGACGGGTTGATTTTTCAACACTTTTCAGCATTTCACGACAAACGACGCAACACCAACGTTCTTACAATGATGCGTCGAGGTAACAATTAAATAGTTAAAATAACGCTGTGGTTACGTTGTGTTTTCCTGAGCACATATTCCATGTTCACGGAGGAGTTAGGAGACGAGGGGGCGGGGGGGGGGGAGGAAGGGAAGAGATAGGGGAAACGTAGAAGAGAAAGAGAGCGGAGAACAGGGGTAAGGAAACGGGGACGGAAGAACAGGGGTAAGGATTGGAGAGCGGAACAGAGAGGTAAGGAAGAGGAGGGAAAAGATTTGGTGAGGGGGAGAGGAGAGAAACAATGGGAGAGGGGGCATAGAAGGGAAAAAGAGGGGAGAAAAGGAGGAGTAAATGGGAGGGGGTTTGGGTAGGGGACATAAGAGTGAAGAGCAAAGGATTAGTCGACAAATTTCTCGCGACATTCGAACTTATTTGTTGTTGCTCATTTTGTAACGGGTTTCTAAGATAATGTATAACAATCGACAGAGGAATGGGTCCCAAGAGGAGACCATCTTGGAGGAGCAGCAGCGCCTCAGCCAGTCGTCTGAACCATCAAGAAAGCTCAAGGCTCAGTCACTGCACAGGCGTCTGGGAAGCAGATCTCGACTCTGCTCTTCTCATGGGCACACTTTACGGTGCACGCTCCAGCGATGGGGCCAGCAGGAGCCTCTGCCCACTGGCTCTTGTGGGAGAACAACAGATGGGGTCCAGATGAACATTGGGGCTCCTGGAGAGGTCCCACCACACAAAACAATCAGTTCACTGAACCAGAATACCAGTTCACTGGTATCTTGGAAAGGTTCACATGGCATGAGACTCCAACACAAAATACAGGATTTACTACAGTTTCCCTTTCATAATGTTCACCCACGTATCGCAGGCCGACCCGTCCTCTTCAACAGTACATGGCATTTTGACGTAGAAATCCTCTAAGGCAAAAGAATGATGTAATGAAAACCATAGCGGCTCGCAAAAAAATTGACGTGATGTCCAGTTTTCTATCCGTGGGTCCTCGGTTAGGTTAGGTTTGGGTAATTAAGTAGGTCAGTTTACTGTCGTTTTGAACGCTCGATATGACAGGAAATCTGCCTTTGAAAGGCACACTTTTTAATGTCTCCGGCTACCACCTCACCCCCCCCCCTCTGGAATGTACATATATGATGAAACTAGCTCTATATAAATAATTTTAGTACACAGTAAGAAATTGGAGTCTTTATATCAGTGATTTATATATACGGTGTGACCCTCTCACCAGCGGCGTCGTAGCTCACAACACCGTCGCACTACTGTCTAGTGCGACTACCAGGAAGCGACTACCAGGTACTACTGCTCCAGTACTTTTTCTCATCCTCATATCGGACATAGACCAGAACACAACCTATAGCACTGTATCATCCTTTGCAGATGACACTAGGATTTTCATGAGAGTTGGCAACATAGAGGACACGGCAAACCTCCAATCAGATGTAGATCAGGTCTTTCTATGGGCTACTGAAAATAATATGGTGTTCAACGAGGATAAGTTTCAGCTCATGCGCTATGGAAAAATTGAAAATATAAAAACAGAAACCACGTACAAAACTCAGGCAAATCATAACATAGAACGAAAAGGCAATGTAAAGGACCTGGGTGTACTCATGTCGGAAGACCTTACCTTTAAAGAACACAATAAAGTAGCCGTCACAACTGCAAGAAAAATGACAGGTTGGATAACAAGAACTTTTCACACTAGAGATGCTATACCGATGATGATACTTTTCAAAACGCTTGTGCTCTCTAGAGTGGAGTACTGCTGCACAATGACAGCCCCTTTCAAAGCTGGAGAAATTGCTGACCTAGAGAGCGTGCAGAGATCCTT